TCTGCCCAGAGCATCTCTAGCAATTGCTTTCAGATCCAATCAAGTTGACAGTCAAGATGGCTTCGCTGGAAAAGGTCAGTGCTACCATGCTTGATCATTTGGTTTTGATCCCCAGAATCTTATGTTATCAATAGAGAGAACCATCTTCTGCACGTTGCCTTTTAACCCCCACATCTGTGCTGTGACATCTGTGCATGTGCACACACACGATAAATAAACAAATGAACAAAAAGAGAGTAACTGTCCCAACTGTGTTTATTTGTCCAAATTCTTAGGACAAATACAGGGTGGGATAATGAAGTTTCTTAAATAGTTCCAGCTTAACCCAAATTTAGTCTGTCGTGTGCCATATGCCACCGTACAGAACACAGCCATCCCTCCTTCCCCACCTTCCTCCTCATTTGCTACTGCCATCACTGGCATCAACTACACACTGGCTGGGGATGGGGATTGCAGGCAAGAGACAGGAGCTATGGAGCTATCTGACCATCTCAGCTTCAGATAATGATTGGCAGTGGGCTTCTGGACCGCCAGATCTACTGGATGGTTTTTGCTTACATTCACTGCAACCATTTCATTAAGCTTGCAACAATACAGTGATTTGTTTGTTTGTTTGTTTGTTTGTTTGTTTGTCTTGTTTTTTTGAGACAGGCTTTCTCTGTGTAGCCTTGGCTGTCCTATACTTACTTTGTAGACCAGGCTGGCCTTGAACTCACACTGCTCTGCCTGCTTCTGTCTCCCTGAGTGTTGTGCCCAGAAATACAATGATTATTACATAATTTATATCTTTACATTTTTGTAAGTAACCTCTCACCCATATTCCTGAAAGCAACCCTAAGAAACGAATTGGTTCACCAAGTGAGACTTGAGAAGAATCATTTCGTCTGTTGTAAATGCCCAAATCTGAGGTGAATAGATGTTTGTTCATGCCTCGACAGGAAGTCACACAACACAACACAGTATTTGGTAGATTTTACCATGCAATTGTATACGAAACTATACTTTGTCTCTGCCTGCTGGCCATACAAAAGGTGACATAGCATATACACTGACATATGCCTAGCTTTTTAAAAGCAATGTTTCTTGGTCGTTTTGCTCTCCTGGAAAGAAATTTTCCTTATTCTTTTGTTACAGAAACAACTCATTGCTGGTTGTGGCACGAATAATTTATCTGACTGTGTTTTAATGGCTGTTGGAGTGTCCACAGTCATAAAAGATAAAGGCATACATAAAAGCATACATCAATTAATTCACACATGTGGGGAAAGTCTCAGACATGAGACTTTTTTTTTTTTTTTTGTCAAAAATCGGTGAGGTGGATTTGAGAGATGTTCAACCATTTTAAGCTTGCACCCCTCGTCCCCCCAAAGCTGCTCCTGCAGAGTATATTATTACACTTTGGAAACGCTGACAACTTGATAGGTAGAAAATAGTATCTGTCTACATTAAATTTATATTTCTTTTATTCAGAACGATGTTGAGTATGTTTTCATGTACTTAAGTGAATTAATATTTTTATGTGAACTGTCTGATCAAACCCTTTGTTCATTTTTCTCTTTAGTTGTTTTTTTTCTATTGATTATTTTGTTAATTACTTTCAATTGATTATGAATTTATATATATATATAATATATTATGATATATATATCATAATATATTATATATATATGAGAGGGGCTCTTTTTTTTCCTGGTCTTGTGTAGCCTAACTAAACTGGCCTCAGACTAGCTATGTAGCTGAGGATGACCCTGAACATTGCTGTGCATTGTGTATACAGAAGCGTTTCCTTGCTCATGCGAAGCATGTGTAGAGGTCACAGGTTGACACTGAGTATCTTCCTTCATCCCTCTCCATCTTCTTTTCTTGTGACAGGGTCCCTCACTGAACCTGGACCTCGCTGTTTTGCTGGACTGGCTGACTAGCAAGGCCCAGGGGTCTGCTTGTCTCCTTTACAGATGCACACAACCACACTTGGTTTTCCATGGGTCCTGGGGATTTGAACTCCGGTCTTCGTGCTTGTACAGCTAACACCGTCCACTGAGCCATCTCTGTACCCCTATAAAAGTGTTTTTGAGGTAAGTGTCTCACGAAGACCAAGGGCATCTCAAACTTGCTATGTAGCCATTTGAGTATGACCTTGTACTTCTGGTCCTCCTGATGCCCCTCACCTGGGACCACAGACGCGCAACACCATACTCAGTCTGTACAGTGCTAGGGTTAGACTTAGACGTTCTTTTCCTCCTCTTCCTGGTCCCTTTTCCTCCCCCTTGTTTTCGTTTTGTTTATTTATTTTGAGACAGGGTTTCTCTATGTGTAGCCCCGGCTGTCCTGGAATTCATTCTGCAGACCAGGCTGGCTTTGAACTCAGAGATCCGCCTGCCTCTGCCTTCCAAGTGATGGGATCATAGGCGTGCACCACCGCTATGGCTGGACTTAGAGTTTCATTTATGCTCAGCAACCACTCCCTACGAACTGAGCTACATCCCCAGCCCACAGACGTTTTCACTTTGGTATTTCACTTGCCATTTGACTTTAAGCAACGTGGGTTTTTTTGTTTTTGCTCTTGCTTTCCTTGTTAAGCAGAACTTTGTAGTAGAGGGCCTTAGCAAAAGCCTTTTTACTGCAGTTATGAGGTCTCCTGTGTTTCCTTTCAGGACTTTTATGGTCTTGCTTTACATTTATCCACAACCTTTAACCATTTGGAGTTTTTCTGGTACATGCTTTGTGGAAGAGCCATTTTTCCCCCCAGAGAGAGTTCTGATTGTCTCAACACAACTCAATACACAGTCCTTTCCCACGGATTTCAGTCCTTTTAGCGGGCACATGTGAGAGCCTGGGTTTGACCTCCACACTACCAGCAAACAAAAGTGCGCATGTGTGTTTCCTGTGGCGTTACTCTTTATCAGTTTGTGTCTCTACATTTTCCGTATTCATTGTTTTCATTTCTGAGAGTTTGAGTATTTAAGGGTTGGTAAGCCTGGTTTCCCTCTATTGATCTACTTTTTTTTTTTTCCTCCAGCCATTCTTCTTCGTTAAGGGCTTTTATTGTGTCTGCATGTGATGTGTGTGTGAGTAGAGGCCTGCACAAGCCACGGTGCACACGTGAAGGTCAGAAGACAAGTCTTTGGAACGAGTTCTCTACTTTCACTGTGGGTTTCAGGGACTGAATTCAGGTCTTCAGGCTTGCAAGGCGATCACAAGATGTTGAGCCATCTTGCTGGCCCATGAGCTCATATTTTTATTGCTTATGCATTCTAGCCATAAATTGACTTAGGAGCCCAGCATGGTGGCTCGTGCCTGTAATTCCAGGACTAGAAATAGTGAGGCAGAAAGACTGGGCTACGTGAATGAGTTCAAGGCCAGCCTGGGCTACAGATGTGACACTATATAAAAAAGAATTAACTTAGATGATTGTCCTCTTCAAGAGGCTGAGTCTTCTGATCCAAGAATATGGAATGTTTTCCTATTTTCCCAGGTCTCCTGTGATGGTCCTCAGCCGTATTTTAAAGTTTGCTTCATAAGAGTCTTACACATTTCACATTGGGCTATGTTAGTCACCATTCTATCACTGTGAAGAGACACTGTGATCACAGCGGCTCTTATAAAAGAACACATTTCATTGGGGGCTGGCTTACAGTTTCAGAGTTTTAGTCCGTTATCACCATGGTGCTGGAGCAGTAACTGAGAGAGAGCTACATCCTGAAGCAGTAACCGAGCAGAGAGGGAAAGCCTAGGACCGGCATGGGCTTTTAAACCCCAAAGTCCACCTTGAGTGACACACTTCCTCCAACAAGGCCACACCTACTCCAGCAAGGCCACAGCCCTAATCCTTCTAATTGTTTCAAATTGGGCCACTTCCTGGTGTCAAAGCATTCCAATATCTAAGCCTATAAGGGCCATCCTCATTCAGACCACCACAGGTTGGTTCTCAGCTATTAGGTTCCCACCAAACCCAACTGGTGCTTAGCATTCATCTCCCCCTGCGTCACTGCTCCCCTTTGAACCACAAGAGCTGAAAGGCAAACCCCAACATTTCCCAGAGCATGGGACATGATGACTAGTGTTCTTTGCTTGACTTATCTATGACTAAGACGTCTTATGTACAGGAGCGGAAAGGTGGGAGTGATCCAGAGACCATCATCCTGCTGTGGTGTGCCCAGCAAGCAGGCTGAGGAGACTGCTCCATCTCTAGCAGCGCTGGCTTCCTGGCACCTGGATTACAGCTGTGATGATCTGACTGAAGCATTCAATCTCATAATGCTTTTGACTTAAGGCATTCACATTTTTATCTAATAAAGGCTCATACAATACATATCACCTGCCAGAAGCTGTTAGATGCGATTTAGAAAAAAAAAAAAAGATTTCTGTGAATGCTCAGTGTTTCCTGGCTTGGTGATGGTTTTGAAAGCAGCCCCTGTATTCTTCTGTGATGAATGGACTCCGTTGGAGTGGCTTTGGTTTTCTACGCTGAACCCTGGCTGGTTCAAATTCTTTTGTGTGAATGTTGTACAGCAGGCTGACTTTTGCCATGTCTTCTACTTGGAAAAAACAAACACCTACCAGTTCTTCAGAACATGTTAAAATCGCCCATGATTATAGAGGTGTCAGATTCTAAGAGGTTTGCTTTATATATCTGAATGGTCTCTTATTGAGTGTAAAAAAAAAAAAAAATACACTCTGCTTCCTAATGTCACCCCTATGCCTGATACCGCAAATGAGAGAAGGCAGATTTGTCTTCAAGAGTTTAGTTTATTTTGGTTCACATGATTTCTAGTGCCAATCTTTTCCCTGCACATGACACAAGTTCACTACCCCCCGCCTTTTTCCAGGCTGTCCTGGAACTCACCTTGCAGACCAGGCTGGCCTCTGCCCAATCTGCCTCTTGAGTGCTGGGATTAACGGGTCTGCCGCCACCACCCAGTCCATAATTTCATTCTTTACAGGGAAATAAAACTCTACTGCGTAGACATACATGCTCTCACGTGGGTGTTGATGAGACACTAGGCTGGTTCTATGCCTTGGCTGTTGACGAGTACTGATCCTATGGATGCTGGGTTTTCATGGGCACCCACTGGGATGTCCGGGTTCCTGTATCTGGAACAAGAAATTGGACAGACACACGTGAACAGTAACAAACAGGGTCAAGGAATACAGTAAGAAAGATGCAGTTCCAAGGGAAGGAAGCAGCCCAAGCAGAGAAATTGTTCAGAAGCTTGATGTCAGTGCCCTGCAAAGAACAGAGGCATTTATGATGCATAAAGTAAGCCTCTCAGGTCATGTGCCTAACATGGCCTTTCTCCTGCTGGCTCTGGACACTCTGGAGTCCCAGAAACCTTTTTGGGGAGCTGAACGATCTTCTATTATAACTGCTTCCTGCTGTTAGGGGGCATGAAGCTGGGGCAAAGCTGGATTCCCTGAGTAGGTACTGACTGAAATCTCTCTTCACAAAGGAGTTCGGTCTGACCTGCTGCAGCCTAGAAGACTCAAGAACAGCATTTCTCTGACCATCGGGCAGGTTCCTCCCGGGCCATCAGTCCTGAAGTGCACAGTCAACCTCACTATTTTATCTGGTGAGTTCAGAAGTGACACTCTTCAGGCTGTAAAACAAACACACGCTCTGATGATTATATCCTAAGAATGTGGCAAAAACAGTCCCCAGGACTCCAATGGTGGGACAGATGAAAAGGAAAAGCAGTGTGGGGTCGTAATCACAGAGTACATGTTAAGCCATCTGTGCCAAAGGGAAAATAAGCCATACATCAGGGTCACGACGACCTACGGGCTTACAGATAGTCAGTGCTCACCTCCGCATTTAAGAAATGACAGCATCCTTTCTTCTTGTCTCACGGGAATTCTTAAAGGTGCAGGTAGAGGTGACTTTGCCTTCCAGATGTTCTTGAGGCTGTGGGAACTCAGAAGGATGGGTTTTTAGAGTATGGCTTCTATGTGAGGTGGCTGTCCAGGCTGACGCGTCAGCAGACTTGGTTCCTTTGGGTCTATGTGGCTTTTGTGAAAGTTTTGTGCCCACAGGATTCAGATTCTGAAAGAGTTGTACCAGTATCTGACCTCAGTTACACAATTCTCTTCCCTGGCATGACCTGGAGTTCCATTTTCTTTTCCTTTATTTTTAATCTTATATTTAAACATTCCTGCCCCCAAGGATGTTTCTTATGAACAGTGACTAGCGAGACTTTTTTTTTTCTTTAATTCAGTAGGTGTCTCTACTATTTTTCAGCATTGGGGACCTCCTCACAGCTGGGCAAACAGTCTACTGTAACCATGGTCCTCTGCTTAAGCCCTGATGGGCCATTCTAGTGAGAAACACTATGTCCCTCCTTTTTGCTGTCAGAATATTGAAACAGGGACCCTGATACATGGATCCTAAAAAATTAATACTTACTCTTGGGGGAAGAGAGAGTCTAAACAGCCCTGGTCCCACAAGCCAGCCAGAGAGAGAATGAGCCTCACAGGAAGAGATGGACACAGCCCTGAAAATCTGTCCTAGTTAGAGTAACACACGCCCAACTCCTGGCTTCTGTCAGCTTTTCTCTAAAACCATGAAAATGCCACCAGAGAGTCAAAGACAGAAGCAGGAGCCTCTCTCTGGCAGCTACCAAACTAAGTGAATGTATTTTCTTTTTACCAATAATTGTTTCCCAATATTTTGTAAAATACAGAGAAACTACGGCAGCAGGTTTATGGACCCAATCACCCCATGCTACAGTCAAGCCGGACTCTATTCCCAGAATCTCGCTTCTATGGAAGAGATTTCATTCGCACGGACTAACCGATCATCGATACAGTGAGAGATAGAAATCGCTTGCCTTGCATCTTGCTTTAAACAAATTTACAAATTATCTTTAAATTAGTTATTATTGTGTGTTCATATGGTCTATGTGTGGCTCCAAGCATACATGTGTCACGGTGCATGAGGGCGTGAGAGAACAAGTTTCCACAGTCTCTCCTTCTGCTTGTTCCAGGGACCAAATACAGGTTCTCCAGCATACATATGAATGTGTATAAAAGCCACCTCCCAGGCCCACCGTGTTCTTTATGTTTACAGGTGTGTGTGTGTGTGTGTGTGTGTGTGTGTGTGCATGTATATGTATACATGTACACACTTGTGTGTGAGGGCAAGAGATCAACTTTGCTGGAGAGCTGGCTCATTAATTAAGAGCGCTCATGTTCTTGCCAAGGACCCAGGTTCAATTCTCAGCACCAACATGGTGGCTCACAACCATCCATAAATCTAGCTCCAGGGGAGCCAATGCCTTTTTGGATCTCAGAGGATATCAGGTACACACACAGTTCCACGTATTCATGTATGCAGAACATTCATACATATAAACTGAGAGAAATCTTAAAAAAAAAAAAATTTCAAGCAGGGGCATGGTGGCACATACCTTTAATTCCCAACTTGGGAGGCAGAGAGAAGTGGATCTCTGTGAGTTTGAGGACAGCCTGGTCTGCCTAGCAAGTTTCAAAACTACCAGGGCTACATAGTGAGACCCTATCTCAAAAATATATACATATAATAAATAAAACCACAAAAGTAAATAAATAAACAGAGGAATAAAGCTGATCACCCTCCAGTGTCAGGCCTGGGACATTAACCTTGTTTTGGGGAAGGGTCCCTCATTGCTTCTATTAGAGTTTGCCCAAACATAGTGTAGGACGAGTGGCCAGTGAGCCGCAGGTTACCTGTGTCCTTCCGGTGCTGGCTGGCACCACCCAGGCTGGTTGTGTTTGTTTACTATGGGTTACAGGATTTGAACTCAGGGTTTCATGATGGTGGGGCAAAGCTCAGCCGCCACTTTCACCCTCTATTTGCAGAATTTCATCTTTTTCTTTTCTTTCATCTTTTTCTTTTTGCCTCTCTTTCCCCATTTCCCCTTCAAGGATCGTTTTTACCAGAGTTTAAAAGAGAAAGCAGGAGAGCTGAAAATTCTGACACCTGCCCAGAAGAGGAGGAGAAAGAAGAGGAAGAGAGAAGACCATGCCATGGAAGTTAGGCATGGAGGTCAGCTGTGCAGTGACCAGATACCACATGGCAAAAGGGGCAATGGGGGCATGGGGGAGGGGACTTCAGAGAGAGTAAGGAAGCCAGAGTACCAGAAAACCCACACTCTGGCCAGCACCTAGAAGAAAGACAGTAGTGAAGAAAAGGGAAAGGCATGTCCAAACAAACCTCATTCTTACCTTCTTCTGTAAGACTGATAAAATTCTCCTTGCTCTATTTTTAATGGAATATTTTTAGTAATTGAAGAATTTCGTACGATGTATTTTGATCATATTCAACCTACCCCATTCCTCCCAGCTCTGTCCCCACCTCCTTTCTTTCTTTTTTCCCTTTATTATTGTTATCTGTGTCCTAGTCAAGGTTATCATTACTGGGATGAAACACCATGCCCAAAAGCAACGTAGGGAGAAAAGGGTTTATTTGGTAGGAAGTCAGGATGGGAATTCAAACAGGGCAGGAACCTGGAGGCAGGAGCTGAGGCAGAGGCCACGGAGGGGTGCTGCTTACTGGCTTGCTCATTTTGCTTTCTTATAGAACCCAGGAACCCTCAGCCCAGGGATGACATCAACCACAATGGGCCAGACCTTCCCACATCGCTAATTAAGAAAATGCCCTGCAGCCAAATCTTCCTTAAAAGGCTCCCTCCTTTCACAGAACTCTAGCCTGTGTAGAGTTGACAAATACCCAGCACAGCATGTATACATCTTTATACAAATTTGTACACATTCATACAAATTTGTATATATTTTATATAAATGCATAAGTACAACTGGCTGAGTCCATGTTGTGTTGCTCATGTGTGTTTAGGGCTCACCTCTTGGTATAATGGACAATGTTAGATGGCTTATCACTGGGGAAGACTTGTCTCTGCCTTATTCTGCAGTCATTAATTACCTGCACTCTTCACCTAGGGGTGGGGCTCCATGAGATTGCCCCCATCCATGTTGACATCTCAGCTGGTGGTGCCATTGTTCAGGCCTTTGCTGGGTAACCATATTGTTGAGATTTCGTGAATACAGCTTCCCTTTCCTATATAGACAACACAACCTCAGGACAGACATCTGGATTCTCTGCCCTGTTCTCCCTGAACGTCCCTGAGTCTTAGAGGGAGGGGTTGTGCTGTAGAGGTACCCGCTGGGGTTAGCACCCCATAGCCAATTGTTCTGCATTTTGACTGGCTGTGGCTTTCAGTAATGGTCTCTGTCTGTGGCAGCAAGACTCTTCTTGGATGAGAGGCGAGAGCTCACTGGGTCCGTGTGCCGTGTGGTGGGAAACAGGACACCAAAGCTCTAACTGTGCTAACGCAGGCTCAGTAGGTTGATATGTGAATGCCTAGCTGTGAGCTCACTAGGCCTTACCTTACATACAGTTTTAGGGGTTTTGCCCCACTAATATGTCAACATACATAAAGTCATGACACTAAGGTTACCCGAATGAGATACGGTCACCATGACACAATGCCAGGGATGTGATAAGGTTTCCATGACACTGAGGGCACAGGAATGAGATAAGGCTATGCACACGTATACTGTCTCTAATTAAGCCATGCTATCTTTTCTTTGTTCTATGAGGGTCTTTGCCACAGTGGTTCCAGGGTCCCTGGTGGCAAGAGGGCCTTTTCTTCTAGTAAAGTAAGGAGTTACATCCTGTTTCTAGTCTTCCAGGGATAGTATTCAATTTAAATCATTTAACTGTATGTTTCTTTAGCAAAGTCTAAAGTTAACCAGGATTGTAGCCTCCTATTTGCTCTCATATCCTTTTGTGGCCTAGACTAGAAATGTCAAGCTGCCTTTAAACACACACAAACACTGTTACTGTAATTATTGTATTCAACGAGGTCAACACCATTTACCACTGTCTTTTCTTCTTTGTGTTCTTTCTCCTTCTCTCCCCCCCCCTTTTTTTTCCTCCCCTCTGAAGCAGTTTTCAGAAGTCCTTGCATGGTAGTGCATACCCGTAATCCCAGCATTTGGGGAGGCAGAGGCGGAGGTGGGAGATCTCTGTGACTTTGGGGCAGCCTGGTCTACAGAGTGAGTTCTAGAACAGCCAGGGCTACAAGAAGAACCTTGTCTTGGGAAAAAAAAATTCTTGAAGCAAAAGTGTACTGCTTGGTCAGTACTTAGTCCTCAAACATCTGAAAATATTTCTATTGTTCATGTATTACATTTTTTTGTGTGGGATAGCAGGAAATTTGGGACAGGGTCTGGCAGGCCTGATACTCAGTAGTAAGGACCTCAGGCTGGCCTGAAACTCATGGCAATCCTCCTGCCTCAGCCTCCTTAGTGCTGGGATTATAGGTGTGTGCCATCATGACTGACTTGCACACACTCTTGATGGGTTAGCTGTACAGAAGTAGGATTTCAAATTCTCTTCTCTTGTATGAACCATTCTTACTGTATGATGGCTCATCTTGGAATTTTCCAGATTTACCATGGTGTCAAAGTGATATGAGTTCAGTAGAAACTGCATTTTGAATTTTGTTCTTTTCCGAGATGGCAATTTGCAGTACAGTACTATTTTACAAAGCATTTTAGACAGTTCCCTTTATCCATAATATTTTGTCACTTCACTATCCTAACTTTAGTTTTATTTCTTTTTCTTGTGATACTCTACGTCACATTCCGTATTTTTTTTTTTAGCTTGATAATTTGTATCCTTCTTGGAAAATTCTTAACTGGTTTTATCTTCAGTTATTGCCATCTTTATTCTTTCTTTCTGGAATTCTGGAGTGTCATGATAGGTCATCCACTGACTCCCCTCAGCTCTCCCTTCCTAGTTACCAATTCTCTCTTTAATGTGTCCAACTTAGCAGTTTTAAATTTCAGTTTTTATTGTTCACATCCATCAGTTTTTATTTCATTGCC